AGCATATTGGAATTTGCAGCTGCTCGCTGCGCCTTCAGCAGCGGCTCCAGATGGTTTCAACATTGAAAAATACATGGGATTACTGCAAAAATAAAGTTTTTTTCAGTTTTACATCCTATTCCGACTCGTAGCTCCAGATAGTAAAAATCGCTATCTCTGAATTTTGATATGTTGTAAAGCGAAAGATTCTGCACAACATGTGTTTTTTTTTAAAAATTTCAAGCTTTGTTTTTTTTCATGTTTGTTTAAAATTTTGCTTTTATTGTATTTATACAATTTGTCAACGAAATTAAAAAAATAAAAATTCAAAAGTTTAGGACATGACAAATTCAATAAACAGAAAAGCATTAATTTTTATTCAGAACGAGCTAAATTACAAGTCTGTAAAGAGAGGTGTGTCAAGTGGCAACCTGGCAAATTTCGCCATTTTGAGGGGGTGTAACCTGGCAGAAAATTCACTTTTTCAAGGTTTTTTCGCGGCTTTCTTTATGCTTGGCTGGAGTCTACTAGTAAGCAAAATTCGAAGAAAATCTAAAGGTAATTTATGTTATTTATGAACGATTTTGTGGGCAATCAGGGAAGGTGAGGAGAAAAAGGAGGGAGTTTTGTGAGCTTGGCTTACTTAGGCTGCTTCACCCTCTCTCCTTTCCCTGTTTTGTCAGTCATATCTGCGCAAAATTTTATAAATTTTTTATCTATCTTCTCAGAAGTTTTTGCTTTTTCTAGCAAAAAGCATTTGTCAGTACCTCCACCTTTTAAACGCCTGCCTATAATAAAGTTTTATTTCCAATGCTGTCAAAGTTGTGTAATTAAACTAATGTCCTCAAAGTTGGGTAACTGAAATGAGTTAATTTTTCTCCCTCTTAAAAAAATATCCATAAAGTAGTCACTATGTTTTCGCTTTTCATATATTTATTTTTAACCGCCTCTGGAGGAGTTGTTTTAATCGCGTAGCGAAGAAGTCGTCAGGTAGCTGTGATCCAGATCAGCAAGTCAAAAATAATTTGTATGATATTCATATGGTGTATCAAAAATGCCATCTGAGTTTATTACCTATGGCCACTGAACGTGATAAGGCCATAAATCTAAAAAAGAGCCAAAAATTTCTGTAGAATGATGTGATTATAAATACTACCTTGATGCAGCAGATGTGCAGTATGAAGCAATTTGAAGAACATAAATTGTCACTTAACAGTTGTCGATTTTCTACTCAATTGTAAAGACGAACTTCAGCTAATAAGGTGACATTTTGACGATTGATTAAAAGAACAGAAGGCAGTAATATGATGACGATTAAAAAAATAAAAAAAACCAATAAGAATTTTAAAAGACAGGTTTTAAAAGAAAAAACAGCAGTTTTTTCTCAAATTACTCGCCACTTCCCAGTTGACGTTAATAAAGTTCTCACAAATGAAAAATTTTGCACACAAAATTTCTGCGATTTTTTCAACATACCGCATGAAGGTCTATAGCGTCCAAACAGGCTCCTTTGTCAACCAGAACCTTCACAACGTCAAGGTAGCCGTTTTCCGAAGCCCAATACAACGGGGCTCGCTAAAAGGAAGCAGTATTTGAAGATTTTAGGTTACAGAGAGCAAAGCACTGTATTCAGATATTGGTGGCACTTTTTAATAGTGAGGTAGGTCAGAAAAGTTGTTTGATTTAACAAAATTTTTTATAGTTTTTATTATATTCTTTCATAAAACTTACTAGAAAAACTTTTTGCTTAACTAATATATCTATTATTCGACTGGCATAAGCAACTTCTACGAAAAGTCTTAGCTAA